TATAAATAATAATTTTAAGTAAAAAAGCTATTTTTATAACAAATATAAATTTAAGGACTAAAAGATAAAAAAAAATATTGTCAAGGACTAACTGTTCTCTAGTAGAATAGTAAGTTTTCCGTTGTCTTTGACCAAGTAGACGAAATTGAAATGAATCTCAAAGTTAATAGACCACTTAGAAATAAAACATAGTTTCTAGACTAAAATGAAATCAAGGTGATAGTTAATAGATTAAAAATTAAATTAAACCTTTAGAAACGAAACAAACTTTCTAGACTAAAATGAAATTAAACTGAAAGTTAGTAGATGATTTTTTGAATTAAGCCCTCTAATAAATAATAAATACCAATATCTCAATATACAATTTTCAAAAATAAAAATAAAAAATAAATCCCTTTCTTTCACTTATTCTAAATAGTGACATCTGAATTTGTAACTCACCTAGCGAGCTAGCTAGGTATTCGAATTCCTCGTCCTTAAAAATGGATTAGAAATGATGATCCATCATGGTTCAATTAAGGCTAAAAAAAATAGTCCAAAGAAAATTATACTATAAACTTTAGAAGAAAAAACTAAGCAGTATTATTTAGATATCGATTGTGGGGATAAAGGTATAAAGAGGCTGTTAGGTATTAACTACGATACTAATAAATTTATGGATGTCACATGCATGTAGAATTAAGAAGTGGCGCAACATGATAAAACGATTGGAAGAGATTCTCTGATAAAAAATCAGAGTTTGTGTGCGTTTCACATGGATGGGACCCTACTGTCCAAATGTATCCTATGAAATCTGAGTCATCCACGTCGAATAAGCCAAAGGCTGACATCAGAAATTCACTTCAGAAGATGGTTGGCACCCCCCTTTTTACGTGGGCGCCGAGGCCGACGTTAATGCCATGCCATCAGTCCCGCCTGTCCCTCTCTTTGTCTCACTTCACCCTGAAGTGGAAGACAATCTGACGTACTCAAACTTTAATTTGATGAACCCTAATCAAACTTTATTAATCTAGAAAGATCCATATTCATTTGCAAGTAAGTGTACACAAAGTTATACATGTGCATGCAATGGATGGGTTAGGGTTTTGATCTTAAATTAAAAAGTATATCCATGCATGATATTTGATATGATATATATATATAGTAATAAGTTCGAGTCTCTCATGTCCAATACAAAATAATTAATTGGTGAAATGATATATAAAAATGCATATGGATGGTGAATTAGCTGATGAGTTTTTCATGAAATTAAAATCATACCTTGACAAATAATTTGGGTTAGACGTTTACTTCATGTAAATCGGATCAAATTTTGATTAATTGAACATTAATTGTTCCTTGGTTTTCTTGTAATCTAGGTTCTTCAAGTTCCAATTTCGTGAAAAATGCTACTTCTTCTTCTAGTCTAAGGCAATTGGACAACCCACATGGGGAGCCTAGAGAAGTGTATTTATATATATTGCATGCATATGCAAGATTATCCAATTCTCGTTGAAAGGAGATTCGATTCATTGTACTTTGGATTAACATACACTAAATGCTGACACACTTTACACCTCTTGAAGTCAAAATGTTAGCGCTCCAAGCAAGAAAGTCATCTTTTGTACAAAAATTAAGAAAACTAAAGGAAGAAAAAAGTTGGTGCGGAAGACCTTTTCTCATGTGATCAATCTATCCAATATTGAGCAAGACCTTTTTCTCTTGGAGTTGATGTGTGTCCTGGAAATCTTATATAAAAGGTCTTATTGATCAACGCAGGATTAGGTGGTAATTAGCCGACCAACTTATAGCTAGTTTGAATTAGCTAGATTGGCGTTGGAAAATGGCGAACATGCAAATAGTTCTGGCGACCAAGAATGTGGAGGCGCAGTACGTGGAGATGATGGTGCCATTGTATTCTTATGGCTGCGAGAGGAAGGTCAAGAAGGCTTTGTCCCATATCAAAGGTACATTTTTTATCTGATATTTATATCAGAGGCACATTAATTTGAAACCAATGTCCTCATGGTTGGATCTTAAAACATAAAAGGGCTTAATTGTACCTTAGGAAATAGATAAAGTCTTGATTTGGATGTGAAGAAAGGTTAATGAATTGGAATTATCTTTGGAACAGGCCTAAGCCCAAATAGAGGAAATTAATTATTAGGGTTTAATGAACCCAATTGAATAGCCTTGGTTTCTCTACGTGATGGCCGGAATGGTAATGCTCTGTTCCATAAATCAGAACATTGTTTTGGCATATCATGTTTGACACCCTCCAGTTTCCCTTCCCTCACCCTTATTAAAAACATGTGATAATTGTAATGACTAATTGTCTTTTTTAAAAAAAAAAAAAAAAAAAAAAAAAGAATGGCCTTGGTTTCTTTTGCGTCAGTCCATGATGTCCTGCCATTGTTTTT